GGACCTACTTGATGATTACAATCCATGGAACAGTATTCAGATGATCATCTCTGAAACAACAGCTGTAAATACTGGTCGCAAGAATGGAGTTGTAGCCAAGCATCAGAAAACATTTCGAGACAAGGGATTCAATGAACCTCAATACATCGGCTGCCAACACAACATTCTTGATCTTGTTCTACGACATGTGTTGGATTTCTTTTTTCCTATACAGTCACAGTCGCCTAACATTAACTACAAATTTATTGATGAGATTATGGAGCATTACGATGATTTAAAAAATGCCTACAAGGGCACAGCAGTGGTAGTAGAGTATGAGAACCTTGGCTGGAGAGATGACTTTAAATTTCTTTTTCAGCTTTGTGAAGCATACAAGTTTTACAAAAATAAGGAAAAATGGCCTCGTACCAAATGGCACAAGCTGCCATCACTGCACAGTGCCAGGTGGATCTCAAGAGGCATTTTTGCGCTTATTGCATTTTTCATTCTTCCAAACTGACGAGAACAGCTGAGGATAACTTGCGATTTCGTTGCAACTACATGGTCGCGAGCCTGGTTTTCAAACCAGCACTATGCAGAGGCGGCTTATGAAGACCTGCTGTCAGCAATATCCCAACTTTCCAAAGTGTTCCAAAGTTGTGAAATGCTTCTCTACCCACTGGAAGAAGGAACCATCAGTGCTTGATGTACCTCGAACCAACATAGTAGCCGAAAGAGCTGTAAAGTTGATGGGGGACATTCGTTCTTCTTGCAGAACAAACAAATATCTTAACTGTAAATTTATTAATACTAATACACAAATCTGAAAGATTATTAACATCACTACAAATGCTGTTGGACAGTGTATTTCTCATGTATTTCTCATGTGTATTGTATATAAAGTTGACATATTATAATTAATAGCCTTTGGGCTGCTATGTGTTGTATGGTTAAATATGAAACTGTCTTAGGTGCGGGAAGTTTTTTCAAGGTATGGTGAAATCAATGTCATTTCTGTGATTTATAGGCAAAAGTTCATCATTTAGAACCCCAGGCTAATTGATTTAAAATTTATCATATACCTAATACATGATAATATGACTGACATTTTGACTATAGCTGTGTATTATATTATAAAATATTTATCTTACTAAACCTCTTAAAAATCTGTTTAGTTTATCATTATTTATTTGAATTACTTAAAAAAAATCTCACTTAGAAGCAATATATTATTTTGAAGCAATATGTTTCATTGAAAGTTTTGAGCATTAAACGGAGCACACGTGTTTACGAAGAAAGATATTTTTTTATATATTTGACTTTTATTTTTTGATTATTTTTATAGGGATTGAAAGAGTAGTTACTATAGCAATGCTATATATAGCAATGCTAAGGGAATTGATGTCAATTCAATCTGACACAATTTTAAAGTGTTTTAATGAAACTTTCAGATGCTTTCAAGAAAAAGTTGATAACTTAGAAAAAGATGTTGAAGATCTTAAACGTGACCTGAATTTTAACGATGATCAACTTGAGACAAAGATAAGTAAAGTTGACAAAAAAATGAACAAAATTAAAACTTGTTTAATTGGAATAAAATCATTTCAAGGCAAATTAGCGAATCGACCGAGAATAAAAGAAAAACAGTCGACTTGGAAGATCGCAATCGCCGAAACAATTTGCGAATTGCGGGAGTTAAAGAGGGACCCAATGAAACATATGATGATGTTTTAAAAAAACTCAAATTGCTTATTAAAGAGGACCTCCAAATAAATGAACCAATAATCATAGAAAGAGCCCATTGGGCTGGAAAATTTGTTCACAAGCCGAGGACAATTATTTGCAAATTATTAAACTGGCAGGAAAAAGAAAAACGTTCGATTTAGGGCAAGAAATCTTATGTTGCCGCCGAAATTGTGTAATTTTCTGCCATTTTTGGGATAGTAATAAAATATCAATGTATGGAAATGATAGAACAGTGCCTAAAGATGATAATAAAACATAAACTTTTAATTTTTTCCAACTCCGTGTGATTAAAAAAGCACTAAGAAAAATTAAAACAACAGCGATTCTTAATTCGTAATTGTCATATAGCCAAGAGACAAAATGATTGTCCTTTTCTTCGTCCTCTTTATTTCAAAATGACTCAAGATATTTTTTGTAACACTTAATGATTTTAGAGCACAACTAAACTTGTAAAAATCATTAAACAATAAATTGCGAGTTTGGGATCACGCAATCTTAATTTATCCCGTCTTACACTATGCATTATTTTTCATTTATATCTGTAATTTTTATATGTATTACATTTTAAATAGAACAAGATTATTTAGGCGGTTCCCAATAACATAATGATTCTCTGTTAGTCTTCACTTTTGTCAAATGAAATTAGCTGAGTTATAAAAAATGATTTTTTGAGAAAAATGTTTTTTATAGCCCTAAACACAGATTCAAAACCGTTTTGTGTTGATCAGTGATAATACACACATCTTTGCAAATATTTTCAAGTCAAGTTCATTAT